GTCTTCATGCACAAGACCTTTCAACCCCTTCTCCTTTGAGGAGCCAGTAAAAATTTTAAAAGCTTCACATCACATGACTATCATGCTTTAAACATCTTTTTGGTATCCCATTTGACCAATGATAAAAAAATAGCATCTTCCAATCATAACAAGCACTGTCATGCACGATCTGGCTGTCAAAGATGACTTCAACGTCACATTCTGCTTCTCTCTTTCCTGGTCAATGAATTCCTGAGGCAAGGGCCTTCTGGAATATGTTAGTAACTCTTATTCTCAGACATATGTGTTTTGTAATCACTCTTCCATTTTCTTATTGTAGCTGGTGGCTGTCTATTGTTTTATTTCTCGATGAGGTGCTACCCACTCAGAAAGATACTCAATACTCTTGCCAAGTCCTCCTCCTAAATATTGCCATCTCCTGATTCTTTCCCTAATGTTAGCCTCAAGGCTGAGACACTTCCTACTTGACTATCTGCTTTCCTTACAGGTACTTAAGTTCTATGAGATGAAGACTATGCATGCATAGTCATCTTATATTTTTAACCCTGAAGCAAATGAAGTGTTTGCTCATGATTATTAGTTGAGTGCAATTGTAACTCAAATGCATTCAACAAAGCATTTTTATTTGAAATCTTATCCTATATGGCTGTCCTTGGCATAATATGTTGATGAAACTAATGATTCATGAATATTTCTGATTGATATACTAAGTTCAAGTTTTCTATAACTCATAAATTGACCACATGGTCAAAAGAAATTTAACTTCTGTGGCAAAGTCATACTGATTTGGGCATATTATGGCTAAAATTTTGGATATTATAAATTTAACAATATTTTCCATATTTATCTTCTTCATTTTCAACTTATCCCCTCAGCCCACTAGGGCCTACAGTAGACTCAGCTTGGTGTCATTTATGAAGTGTAGAATCACTGTTTTGTGAGGTAAACTGTTTAAACAAGCAATTCTGAAGGGCAATTACTTATTAAGTTCAAATTAGTTGACTCAGATACATCATATAAATGAAGACGAGCGACGAGGCTCAATATAACTCTCACAGCAGAGCTGATTGAACTTAAAAGGAGTAAGACGAATTGGAATAAATGTCTGACAAAGTGTTTAAATTGTTAGAGATTGCACCTGAGGTGGGTAAGATTGCCAAAAGTTTGTTGCCTCAGCTTCCCAGCCAATAACATAAACAAATCCAGAGCATGTCACATCCTGGTTCCATTGCCAACAATAGGGTCACAGGCTTTTGGAAGACAAGCCTTAATTCCCTTGTTTGAGTTTGAATGGTGTTTCTGTAGTTATTTACTTCTTTCCCCGAAGAAGCATAGATGTTGTGTAGCCTATTTTAGTCCTTGGGAATTTTCACTTCTGTATCTAATCTAGTTAATGCAAATGAAGGTTGACACCCTTTTTGTGCAATGTCAGTTGCACTGAGGTGCTCCAGTGTCCATACACAATGGTGTCAGTATACTTATAAGGATAATGCATATGTGTATACAGTACATCGAGACATCTACTAAACGAGCACCAAGTTCATCCGCACATTACTCAGCAAAAGTCATTAGACATAGATGGGATAGCATATGAATGCTTCTTTACACCTCTTCTACCCCCTTTTTGTCAGGAATCCAGTGTGTAGCCCAGATTATCTGGAACTCACTTTACACTCCAGGCTGGGCTCACGCTAACACCAGTCTTCATTCCGCTGCCTCCTGAGCACCAGGAGGCAGAACCAAGTACCACTCCCAGCTTCTGTATGAATTCCTCAATCACTTGTTACTTGATTTGTCCATCAGGACAGAGTTATTTTAGGAAACAAGAGAATATGACTTTTCAAGGGTCATACAATCAAATTTCTCCTTGAACATGGATAATATAGTCATGTTAAGTGTGTAGACACAGCATGACACAATGGGATTTTTATGACCTAACAGAATATTTTCAATTTCTAATTTGCTTTTACTCTCTGCTGGGCCAAAAAAATAAAAACCATAAAACAAAAACAAAAAACCAAACTTCATTAGTACTACATAAAGTAAAATAATTAGGAAAAATGGTAAACACTGGTATAGAGTATAAGTGGTATCTTTTAATCATAATTTTTGAAACAGGGATGTATACACGCGCTGTATATCAAAATAAAACATGTGTCTTAGTGCAAAAGAACTTTAGAGTCATTATTAAGAGGGGTTTGGCAGAGAAACAATAATTTCAATGACCCAGGACAGGTGCTTCCTGGTCCTGAATGTACAAAAAGACTTCTCAAATATCAGAAAGATCTATTAAAATAACTTACTCTTGAGTAGATTAGAACCCCAGCACCAAATATCCTTCCAGAAACTTCTATAAAACAAAAGGGCTCTATACAACAAACCTACATCTCTCTACTTGGAATCATGCCCTATCTAGGACACCAGAAACAAAACTTTCAGAGCTGTTCTTGAGAAACACACACACCCAGAAGGATAATTCAAAATATCCTTCCTCTTATCCATTCTATATATTCGTACTGAAGATACTTTTTAACAAACAGCGTGAGAGATCTAAAGACAAACAGCAAAATCAATAAATCGACAGTGCCATCCCCTCACTCGGAAGTGATAGAACTGTTGGACAGCAGCAACTCTGAGTTCTTCCGAACCCCTATTCATCCGGCAAAACTGCAAGGACTCAGGACAACCCATTTACCATACCATCCTTTGATGCAAAGGGGAGTACTAAAGAGAATAAAAGCAGTAAGGGTGGCCTCGGGAGAAGCAGAGCCCTTGTAGGAATCTTGCAAGTTAATGAGAATTCACCCAGGGCTCAAGAGGGATGGAGAGGGAGAGAAAGGAGGAGACAGAGGGGCGGGGGCAAACCTCTTCCTCTGCAGCTGGCCCTGTCCCTCATTTGTTGCTCCAATAAGCAGTAATTAGGTCCTGAGCTAATGGTGTCAGCTGATCTGCTGTTTTTAGGCTAGACCCAGAGGAAATCTCCATGGAAACCCTGCTGGACTCGTCCCCCCACCTGGATGCTTCCAGCTCCTTTCCGCCACCTGGCTGCCGCCCGGCCCGCAGCTACCTCCTCCTGCCTCTAACCTGCAGCCTGCAGCATGCGCACTGCCCCCGGGATCCCTAAATGGGACAATTCTGCCCGTGACGTCAGCGCCCAGCCGTCTCCACAGAAACTTTTGTCCCATTGGCCAATCAGAGAGCTTGGAAGGGGCCTAGGGGTGGGGGGTGGGAGGAGAGGGGAGTGGGAGGGGTGGGGGTGAGGGGAGAGGCGAGAGGTTTAGTGTGTGGAGCTGCTCACGCAGCGCCCGGGCTGTCAGTCCCGGCTGGGGCCGCCTGGAGACCTTCCAGGAGTCACGCACCCCCGCACCCCGCGCCCCGCACACCCTCGCTCGACCACACACACACACACACACACACACACACACACACACACACACACACACACACACGCACATCTCAGGCTGGCCGCGCGGGAGCCACTGAGCAGCCTGAGAGCACCGGGACCGGGCTGCGGGCGGAGGAAGGAGCGGCGTCCCCACTGGGGCTTTCGCCCGGGAGACCATAACAAGCCACCAGGGTGGGCTCGGACCCCTCAAGGAACGCGGCGCGGGTCGGGCCACCGGACTGGCTGGGCCGATCCCTGTGACCCGCGGGGGCCTCGGCAGGGAGTGCAATAAAGAAGAGCGGCCAAGGCGAGCAGGACTGGAACTCCCCTGGTTCCAGCGCCACCGCGACACACGGGTGGAAATCCTGATGGAGGGATCGCTGACTTCCTTTGCTTGGGAACATCGTCAGGAGCAACTCCGATTTGGCTCCTCTGAGCAGTGGAGGGGGGTCCATGACGTGGCAGTGGGAAAATAGACAACCGAAACCTCCCGCTTGAACTGCAAACTATAACCCAGGAAGGGGGAAGGACTGCTCTCTGCGTTTTAATTTCACGCAGAAAGGTTCCGTGTGGTAAACTTATTTCCGTGTCGTGTACGCACTTCAGCAGAACCCAGAGGGTCCTATCCTGGGGACACCATCGTCATCCCGAAGAGCCCCAGCCGGCGGCCTGCCTCCTTGCTACCACATTCCCTGGACCGGATCGCTGTTTGAGACACTCCATCTATCCTATGGAACTATGACCAGGTATCTGTGAATACTGGACCAGTTTCTGAAACCTAACTCTTACAACCTACCTGCGAGCTGGAATTTAGCCTAATGCATCCGAAGAAATGGCATGTTGAGTCGCTTTTAGGATACCTCGGCTTCTTTTAAATTCCTGTAAAACAGCATCTGATAGGCTGACCAGCATGACAGGTAAGAACTTTCTGTCTCTCTAGTCCCGTCACATAGAAGGCCAAGGCTGAGCAGGACCCAGCAAGGAGGAGAATCCAGGGACCCGTGTGCCCTTTGAGGCTCGCCTGAGGGCTGCTTTCGCTAGAGGCACAGCCCTGGCTCCTGGACCATCCACTGGGGAAGCTTCTGGGGCGCGCGCCAGGAGACTGCCTTGGGCTCCACCTGCCCTGCCCTGTTCACAACCCTGGGGCGAGGCATCGAGGGAGTACTTCAAGTCAATACTGAGATTTTTAATAAACCAAGGAATGGGATTTTAATTATTCAGAAACCCATCTCTTCTGGGTCAGCGGCTGTTGGGATGGTGCTGGTCACACAGTATTAAACGGACCGACCATTGAGAGCACGAGAAAAGCGTCTGAGACATCCTCTGCAATTACGAACGAACCAGACTTGGTGGCACAGGGCATTGATTGCTAGTGCCCATCCGGACCCTCCTCCTCTCTCCCTGGTCCTCCCCCCCCCCCACCGGAGGCAGGCTCCCGCGGCTCGGCCAGGACCTAGCGTCCTTGCATCGTGGCCTGGACTGCATATTTCATGAGCCCGGGGTGAACAGGTGCGAAGTGCACTGGGAGCATCCGGCCCAAGACATCACGGGGGGGAACATGGAGAGCGAGCGCGACATGTACCGCCAGTTTCAGGACTGGTGCCTTAGGACTTACGGGGACTCAGGCAAGACCAAGACGGTGACCCGTAAGAAATACGAGAGGATCGTCCAGCTCCTCAACGGCTCCGAGTCAAGCTCTACCGACAATGCCAAATTTAAATTCTGGGTCAAATCGAAGGGTTTCCAGCTGGGCCAGCCGGACGAGGTCCGCGGGGGAGGCGGCGGCGCCAAGCAAGTGCTCTTCGTGCGGGTCAAGACCACGGTGAGCAGCCTTCTGTTATTTGTCTGCTGGAGCAGCCCGGAAGGGAGGGCGGAGAGAGGGGAAGGCAGGGAGATGCTGGAGCCACTGTTGGCTCCTAGCCCCCACCCCCTTCTCAATCCCCTCCCGAGTCTTCCCTAGACGCAGTGGCCGGGCGTGATTTCCCTTCTAGAAAGTCTTTGTGGTCCTTTATTTTAAAGCAACAGCGAACCTGCCGAGCTGGAGGCCCTTGCCTGCCTCGGGGCTGAGCTGCGGGATGGTAGCTGGAGCTTGCCTTCACCGAGTCTGGCGGCGCCCGGTGTTCCCCTGGCAAGGCCATTGTCCCATGTCCTTCGCTGGGAGGCTGGCGCGTGTCCTACCTCCGCCAGGGCGCATAAAGGCCAGGCTGGAAGCCCAGCCACACGCTCTGTTAACGCGATGCTACTGGGTCTCCTTATCGGCACAAAGCCCCAGTGTGGCAGTTAAGGTGGTTTGGGGGCTTTCCCCAGGGCACTATCGAGTTTTGTTGTGAGACCGCCAGAGGGGAAGACACAGGACAGTCCGCATGCCTCGGTCGCCCCTTGAGATCCTAGCCAGGATGGTTTGGTTGGCAGATAAAGTCCTGGGCATTCCTCCTCCCCGCCCCCCATCCCCTTCTTCGCTTGCACCACTGGAGCTTCCTCAGCTAGGCGATGCACAACAAAGAGAGACGGGTTTGGGCGCAATCAAATGCTGTATTTGCTCCTCTTTCTGGGTTGGTTCTGGTCTCCTACCCATAAAGCTGTAGTGAACGAGAAACCGGCTGTGAAACCGGTATGCCTCATCCTAAAACGCAGATGCCTTGCCTGCGGGGCTGGGACGCTGCAGCAGCATCCGCTTCCTTTGCAAGAAGATGGGAACAGGGGGCTACAAGTAAGATCTCAGGTCAAATGTATAACACCTAGCTGCCTCATGCTGGGTACTCACCTAGAGTGGGGGTGGAGGAGCTATCTGGCACCCTTTGTATTTTTGTATCGCTTTGGGATTCGTTGAGCTTTGCTCCTGCTCCCCCCACCCCTTAACTGGCGACTGTTTCCCAGTGCTCAGCTCCCTGAGGATGCTAGGAAAGAAGGCTTCTGGAGGAGAAGTCTCTGCTTTCTCTGAGGTGCATGAAGGGCTCTAAGAAGCTCCGTCTGGAGGACTCTCTCAGGTTTGGAAAAAGCCTTTGGCTTCCCAAGATTAATTGGGAATGGTGGCTTGAAGGATAGTGGTTTATTTTGGAATTTATACGGGAAATCTGAAAACAAAGGTGAACTGGAAACACAGAAAAGTTTTTTTTCTTCTTCTTGAGATTCAGTTATTGAAAGATTTGCAGGAGGTACATGTAAATGTTGTCTTTGCTTTCTCCTGTAGCACAGAACTCGGCTAAAGACAATGGTGAGGCATTAGCTTGTCTGGCTGGATGAAAATGACCAGCTTGGCATCTCTTAGTGTAAGGGTTCTTTACATATCTGTGAGACAGAAGTGTATTAGAGGAATTGCTTTGTTTCACTTGGATGGGGACTCATATTAAGAGTGGATGGGAAAAATAATTTATTGATAAGCAAAGTGAATTATAATTCTAGCTGAGGGAGTAAAATATCATTATATCTTTTAAAAATACTATTTAACATGGTCATATATAAATACTGTATATTATATTATATATCATTGCTGGCCAGAAAGTTTTTCAGTTTTATTCATTCTTTTTTGTGTTAAATTTATATTCTCTGTTTGGGTCCAGTGATTCCTTGCTTGTAGAGATTTGATTACAACCATTATGTGTGTTAGACTATGTGCCCCTTTGAAGAGTAATTAAAATTCCAAATAACATAAATTTTATAAAGGTTTTACAGGCACCAAGATAATCGTGGGTGTGAGTTATTCAAACCAGCATTCACATGCTGTGACACCCATATTTTCATGTCAAAAAAATAAACGTGGGGTTGTTAGAGAATCACTAAGACATCTAATAGAGAGTGACAGCTGCAGGGATAATAACGTAGCACGTGTTTCTCTTTTCAGTAAAGATTCCATATATTAATGCTAGACAGTGTGATCTGCCAGGTGATATTGTGAAATGATTTCCGTGTAGTATTTAAAGCACTCTGCGTTCCATTCAAGTCTATTTTGAAAGGTTGAATAGGATTTTAATTCATGAGCTCTTCTACTGTTCTTTATGAAAAATTTTCTGCTGCTTCTGACACAGAATTGTAGGCTCCACCTTCTCTCTGAGACAGCCAATCACAGTTTCAATCAGTTCAAAATAAATAAAATATCACTTTTATCCTCTTCCTCAATGTCTGAATGCATTTTTCCCTAAAAAAAACCCAAACCAATTTTATTTGTCTTCATTATAGCATGGTGCAATCCCCAAAAAGACAGAAATATGTTTTCTTCTCATTCAGGGAATGTGTATTGCATACATTGGTTGAAATAGGGAACTGCCTGTAAATAGTGTTTTCAAGTAGATGGAGAGTTGTTCTGAGTTCCTTGGGGTCTGAGGGGCATTGGATAGCCTTTCTTTTAGTGAGATGTGCTTTGCTCCTGGTGTTGCATTAATCCATTGCTGCTGATAATTAGACATCATTACTGCAGCAAAAAGGAAAAGAGAAAGAGGAGAGGACAGGCCTGGGCTAATTAACTACTTTCATTTAATGAAAGAGAGACAGAACAACTGGGAGGATCCATAAGCGCAGACTAGACGCACTGCATAGATTTAATTGTAACAAAACAGTCTGTCAACGTCATAGTTAAGGAGTTGGGGTCTGTCTCTTAGTTTCTCAAAATAAAATAGACACAGATTTGCAGGGGTTCTTGCCCCAACCCTCAAATTTTAAACTGAGCATGCAAAAACTGATTGAAAATAAAAATTGCCAACAACTGGAAGGGATAAGTATGTTATTTAATATTTGTCCTGGGGACTTTTCTGTTACTGATGTTTAGATAACTCGGTGGCTGGAAGGACACTATTTGGTCACCAAGCAACATCATCCTGCAACTCAGCCATTTTAAGTCTGGACGCGGACCTGGATGTGTGCTTGTATGCAGTTGACTTAACATCCCATCTGCTTATTTTTTGTTTTACCTCATGCAACCACTCAGTACATTTTTAAAAAAAATTTGAAGTGTAAGAAATTCTGAAGAATGAAAGAATAGATACATTAAAGCTCTGTCAAAAAAAAAAAAACAGACTCGGCAAATATCTGGCAGTGACCTGTACTGTAACAAACTCAGTCAGGGACAGCATCAAGTAAGCAGGAGTATGGCTGTTCTCTTTTCTGCTTTGATAGTTCATTGGAACACTTTGATCCTGATTGACATGTTGTTTTATGACAGCAATTAATTGAAACAGTCACAGTCTGAATTACCACAATATATTCTCCCGCTTGATAGGATGGATGGTAAGTTAAAAATGATGATAAAGTTTAATCTTTCTGCTTTCTGAGAGATGCACTGTCTTGCACTTAAAAAAAACCTCATTCCATTGTATGAAACACTAATGAGAAATTTAGTAATCCCATGTTTGCAATCCTTCTTTTAGATTTAAAGTAGTGAATACTGAAGCTGCATAACCAAATCATAGAATATTTCCTTGACCTATGTTTTAGGGAAAGACACCAAAGTTTAAGTTTTGCCTCCCTGTACCCTCATTGGTATTGACTTTACTGTGGAGCATAAAATACAATTTCTTCCACAAAGGAATATGCAGTGTCTTTAGTGATGTGATTCAAAAAGGGTGATTTATTCAGTCCTGCAATCTGTAGCCTCAGAGTTCATATTGTTCTTGCTGTGTGTACTACTAATTGATGACTGCAAAGTGATTACAATGAATATTCATGGACAAGATCATAAGCAGTTAGCATTTTGTTAGTTCTCTGACTCTGGTGTAGATTATAAATCCTTTATTCTAATCAGAGTGGGAGAAATAATGACTTAAGAATAATATGTACCTACTCCCCCTCTTCTAACACCACACCTTTGGAAACATCTCATGTATTGGACCTTCATCTCGAATTTCCAACAGATATTAGAGAGGAGAAATGTGCCCACAATCTCTTGTACTTTGTGACTATATAAGAGGCATAGTCATCATAGTGGTCATGTTTTTGCTAATCTATTGTTACATAGAACCAGTTGCCACTGACAGCCAACATGTAGTATATAGTATCTACAACATCAGTTTGGGAGGTTACATAGGGTCCAGAAATAATGCCAGCAATGAAGCTTACAGGGTGTCCTCAGTAGTTTATGGCATTGTCATGAGGACCAGACCATCTATAATGCTTTTGTTCTGTGTCTGTGTAAGCTCTTAGACACTGGGTACCTTCAGTGTAGGCCACTGGCATGAGTTTCAAAAGGTAGGACACTTATATATAAACACCCCTGGATATAAGTATGTGAAGACTATCCCAAATGAAGATCCCAAGATAATAACTCTTGATTTTTCCATCCATTCTTCTTTGTCTTAATAGTAAATACAACGTGGAGGTCATCGCTGGTATTTTCCTATTTCTCCCTGTGCCAGCAGAATACTTCAACATTCTATTTTGTAGACTCACTGCACAACATGGAGAAAGGTGAGGAAGCAGACACTGGGGTACACATCAAACGCTTCGAGACCTTCTGTTTTGTGTCAGGATCATACAGCTGTTTTCCACACAGCTACTATATTTGCCAAGACTTGTTTTTTATTGTCCAAATAAGGATGATCAAAATAATCCAGTACGGTTTAGGTTATGCCATTTTTTAAAGTCTCTATAGGGCAATATATGAAGAATGGAAACTAGTTGATATGAGGCAGGGCATTGTAGGCATGGTATAGGTCTCACAGCTTCATTCGATCCTTTGCTCTGGTATAGTGAACCTGGCTGACATCCATGTAAAATCTCTCTGTAAAATATTAGTAATATTAATT